GACCTGAAATGATCATACATGCTGAAATAACTTAAAAACATGAATTTTTCTCAATGAACCGAACATGACCGGCGTGCGCACCGTGCGCTGCCGACGGCGTTGGGCCGTCTCTCGACCAGACACGATCCTTTCTCAACAATGAACCCATAACTGATCATGAAACATCATTTATTAAACACAATAACACGCAGTGCTCGAAGAACTAGAACCTAACACACTTGCTAAGCATGAGCGGCCGGTGGCACGCGCTATGTGCACAGCCGCTTCTATTGGCCAAACAATACTTAATCATGAAAATTCTCTCGAACAACACTGAATGACTGATCATGAAATAACATAAAAAGTCTGGTTATATGCTTATTACTTGAGAGACTTTAACTTAAACATGAATACACTTGCTACACACTCGCACAGACGAAAGGCCTAAGGCCGTGTTATGAACATAAATACTTCGAACTAATATGCCCTTTAACATGAACAACCCAAGGTAAACGAAGTTACCTTTTACTTGCTCGCTCAACTACACCAGGTACTCTCGGCGTTCGGTACTTCGTGCGATGCTCACGGTTCGACGTGCGGTGCGTATGTGCTAAGTTTGGAGGAACTCTCACAATCTCACAACTCACTCTTAACTTAATAATACATATATGGTGCTGAGGTAAGGTGGCCAAAATTTTCCTTAAGTCCTCTATATATACTAAAGCCGAATGGGGAAAATCGAATTAGGGATGATGTAGTGGAGACGTGGCCTTCCCATGGCTTGACATTTGCTAGTTAATTAGGAGTTTTTATGAGTGACTAATCACCTCAATGTCCACCTCATGCTAAATACTAAGTGAGGTTTCCCTTCCATGTAGCATCCCTCACGACAAATGGAAAAATATAGCTACGACTTTGGGAAAATGATTGAGAACAGTTACATAACTCACGGCTTTCAATATCAAATTGTGATTAATTGTTAATTAATCACTAAATTATGTTTAATTATTTAATTAAACATAATGCTTAATTACCAAAATTATTTCGAACGTAAAAGGAACGTCGAAAATAATTTAGGGTAATCTTGACTGAAAATAATTAATTCTGAAAATAATACTCGACAACGCTATTATATCGGAACTAAAACATTATTTATATTAATAAACTGACGGGATATTACAATCCTCCCTCCTTTAAAATTTCCGTCCTCGGAAATTCAAAATATAACTGATTATACATGAACAATGTACATGGAACATGAAAATATATACATCAAAACTGAAAATCTGGAAAACGAGCGCGAATGTCAGCCTCTACCTCCCAAGTAGCTCCGTGGAGCTCCCACTGAATACGCACGAGGGGAACATCTCGCTTTCAGAGCTGACGAACCTGACGGTCCAGTACAGCTACCGGTCGCTCCTCGTACGATAAGTCTGGCTGAACCTGAATATTTGTATGAGGAATGACATGATCAGGGTCGCACACATGCTTACGCAACATAGACGCGTGGAAAACATTATGAATGCCTGATAGCTCGGGAGGTAAGGAAAATCGATACGCAACTTCGCCTACTCGCTCGAGAACCTCGAACGGACCAATGAATCGAGGGTGCAGCTTCCCTCTCTTCCCGAATCGAACAACTCCGCGAATAGGATGAACTCTAAGAAAAGCTGGCTCGCCCACCTCGAACTGAATATCTCGTCGATGATGATCAGCTGAAGATTTCTGTCGACTCTGAGCTGTCTTGAGTCTCTGCTGGATCAACTCGACCTGCTCTGCCGTCTTCTCGATCATTTTCGGACTGAGTACTCATCGCTCTCCGACGTCATCCCAATAAAGAGGAGAACGACACTTGCGACCGTAAAGTACCTCGTAAGGAGCCATCTGAATAAAAGAATGATAGTTGTTGTTGTACGCGAACTCAGCATACGGCAACAACGACTCCCACTTAGCACCGCTGTCAACAACCAAAGCGCGAAGCATATCCTCAAGTGTCTGAATGGTCCTCTCGGACTGACCATCTGTCTTCAGATGGTAGGCTGAACTGAACTCTAGCTTCGTGCCCATCGCCTCGTGTAAACTGTGCCAGAATCTACTGACGAATCTAGGATCTCTGTCTGATACGATAGTAATGATCACTCCATGGAGTCGAATGATCCCACGTGTATATATCTCAGCCAACTTATCCAAAGACATCTTCATCGAAACGGGTAAGAAATTAGCGACCTTAGTCAATCTGTCGACCACGACCCAAATAGCGTCGTGATGTTCAGACGACCTCGGTAATCCCGTAACAAAATCCATCGTGACTGCCTCCCACTTCCACCTCGGAATCAGAAGTGGTTGCAGGAGGCCGATCAGACTCTGATGTTCGACTTTGACTTGCTGACAGGTAAAACATCTCCTGACGAACTCAGCGACGTCCTTCTTTATTCCGCGCCACCAGAACGACCCTTCTAGGTCATGATACATCTTCGTGCTCCCGGGATGGGGTAAGTAGGGTGCGGTATGAGCCTCTGATAATATCTCCTTCCGCAACGCCTCGACTTTCGGGACCACGATCCTGCCTCTGAACCCTAAGGCACCATCTGAACCTAACTGAAAACCCTCGACGCCTCCGGCGCAGACTTTGGCCTCCATGACTCGTACGAACTCGTCAGAAGCCTGTTCCCGCCGGATTCTCTCTCTCACGTTGGCTGAAGCTGCATAGCACTGATGCTGGCACTGACACTTCCCGAGAGAGCTGTGGGAAGTGCGTCGACTGCCTGAAGCTGCATCCGGGCGAACTCCTGAATCAATGGACTCTGCTGAGTAACGACATACGTCAATTCACCCCTCACCTTCGCCGGCTAGCAGCCATGGTTCAGCCACTTTCCTAGCAAAGTTCATGAATCAACATAGAAGCTATTTGGAAGCTCCTCTTATCTTATGCTTTTTTTTGGGATCTTTGCCTTGCAAATTTAGGCATAAACCTTCCTTTCCGGGCTAGGACTTAGATCGGACTTATCGAACACTACGCACCTTGAGCCTGGTTAAGAAAGGAAAGCGAGAGATCCAAAGAGCGAGCTCCTTCGGATCCACTATTATCTTCCAAGGCCAAGTCTTTAAATTAAGCCATTCTGCTATCATTCTAGGCTTAGGGAGTCAGCAACGACGTTCGCCTTTCTCGGATGATACTGAATCGAGCAATCATAATCTTTGACGAGCTCGAGCCAATGGCGCTGTCTAATGTTAAGCTCCTTCTGCGTGAAAATGTACTGCAGGCTCTTATGATCTGTGAAAATATCGCAACGTCCACCATAAAGATAATGTCGCTAGATATTGAGAGCATGGACAACTGCGGCTAACTCCAAGTCGTGCGTCGGATAGTTATGTTCGTGCGGCTTAAGCTGACGTGAAGCATAGGCGACGACCTGGCCGTCCTGCATAAGTACACATCCCAGTCCTTGCTTCGAAGCATCGCTGAAAATAGCGAAACTCCGAGAAGGATCAGAAATAGTCAACACCGGGGCTGAAGTTAATCCCCTCTTGAGCTCCTGAAAGCTCGCCTCACAACGATCAGTCCACTCGAACATCACAGACTTCCTCGTCTACTGGGATAGTGGGAGGGCAATCTTAGAAAAGCCCTCGATGAACCTGCGATAGCAACCAGCTAAACCGAGAAAACTGAGAACCTCGGACGTACTCTTCGGTGTCGACCAGTTCTGAACAGCTGAAACCTTAGAAGGATCCACCTCGATACATGCCTGAGTAATCACATGACCCAGAAAAGCTACTCGTTGGAGCCAGAACTCGCATTTGGAGAATTTGGCATACAACTTTTCTTGTCTGAGGGTTTCGAGAACCACCCGCAGATGCTCCTCGTGCTCCTTCTGGCTCTTCGAGTAGATAAGAATATCGTCAATAAAGACAATTACAAACTGATCGAGGTAGGGATGGAAAATATGGTTCATCAGGTCCATGAAAACTGCTGGAGCATTGCTGAGGCCGAATGGCATGACAATGAACTCGTAATGGCCGAAAGCGGTCTTAGCGAGATCTGACTCCTTAATCTTCAGCTGGTTGTAGCTTGATCGTAAATCAATCTTTGAAAATACACAGGCTCCCCTCAACTGATCAAATAAGTCATCGATCCTGGGAAGCGGATACTTGTTCTTGATCGTCAACCGGTTAAGATCCCGGTAGCCGATACACATGCGCATGGATCTGCCCTTCTTCTTGACAAAGAGAACGATTGCTCCCCAAGGTGACACGCTAGGTCGGATAAAACCGAGTCGTAATAACTCCTGAATTTGCGCCTTAAGCTCCTGCAAGTCCTTCAGTGCCATACGGTACGGGCCTTTTGATACGGGACTGGCTCCTGGAATGAGATCAATAGAGAACTCCACCTGCCGGTTAGGCGGTCCTCCTGGAAGCTCGTCTGGGAACACGTCCACAAACCCACGAACAACTGGGACATCGTGAGGTGATCGTGCTTTCTGAGAATCATCGACAAGGCTCACCAGATAACCCTGGCAGTTGCCTCGTCGTAGCAACTTGGTAGCTTTTGCCATTGAAACAACCTGGGGTAATGAACGATTCTTGCTGCCAAAGAAGGTAATCGAATTGTCTCCCGGAAGATAGAGAGTAATCTCCCGGTCATGACATCTGATATCTTCGTGATAAAAGGATAGCCAATCCATCCGGAGAATGAGGTCAAAGTCCCTCATCTCAAGAACATATGCGTTGGCAGACAATGAACGACCACCGACTGAAAGGCGGAGATCTGAAGCTTTAGCTGAAGTCACTATCTTTCGTCCCGAGGCTAAACTCACCTCGAGAGGATTGATAGCGGTGATAGCGTGAACTCCGATGGCATTAAGACATCGTCGTGAAATGAAAGAATGTGTTGCTCCAGTATCGAACAAAGCGAAAACAGGAATATCATTAAGCACAACCATCCCTGACATAGTACCTGGCTGCTGCTCGGCCTCGACCTGATCGACTGCGTATACTCGGGCCTGCTGTCTGCCCCTCTGCTGCTGCTGCTGCTGTGGTGGCCTCTGAGCCTGCTGACGGGGCTGCTGCTGTTGCTGTGGCTGCTGAGGCTGCTGGGGGCTATTATGCCTTCTTCGGACAACAGTTAGCAAAGTGTCCAGGCTCGTGACAGTAGTAGCATATATCATGGCCGAAGCGACACTCGCCTCGGTGAAAACGTCTGCATGTGGGGCACTGTGGAACCTGCTGCTACCTCTGTCGGGTCCTCGGGTCGGTCTATGCGCCCTTCCCCTTCCTCTTCTTCTCCTTCATCGACTGGGCAGCTGGTAGAGCTGGTGGAGCTGTAGATGACTGGGCGGGAGCGAATGGCTGAGGACGATCATGGATGGCCTCCCTCCTAATGCTGGCGTCCACCTCCTGGGCAATGGAAACTGCACGAGTTTACGTCTGAGTCCCGTGACCTACAATGTTATGACGGACTGCTGGGTAAAGTCCGTCAATGAAGCGCTGTGCTCTCTAGGCCTCCGTGCGAACCAAGTCAGGAACAAAAGCTGCAAGTCTGGTAAACTCTCTTTCATACTCGTCTACAGTCCGAGTACCCTGTTTGAGTGACAGAAACTGACGCTCCATCTCTGCTTTGTAGTAGGTGGGGTAGTACTTCTCGCGGATCAACTCCTTGAGCATATCCCATGTACATCCCGCCTTCTCGCCGGGACGCATGCTCCAGTAGGCATTCCACCTGAGCCAGGCATCACCGGT